TGGGGAACAGGTTTGACTAATGCACCAAATAAATATGATGGTTTAAGACAGCTCATCAGCAGATATTTGCATGTGTCCAGTCAGGTTTCTGATGTGTGCTGTTGATGTTCTCCCATCAGGTGTCTCTGACGTCAAACTGGAGCTGAACACAGCAAACACAGAGCCTGACCTTTCTGAGGATGAACCAAAGCTGATGATGGTGAGAAAATGACTCCATACTGACATTCCAGACAGTTGTAAGGGCTCAACGCACAGCAGGTAACAGATACCAAACTCAAGTACTCGTGCAGCAGTTGGTCCGGTGTAATCAGCCATTTCCAGCTTGCAGTGCTCACAGATGACAGACACACATTGATGGTCTCTGTCTGAAATACTCTGACACTTAGGGATGGGTAACGAGTACCAGCATTAATTGGTGCCGGTAATTCAGTACCATTAAGCTCCTTATGAAATGGTTCTGTTGTTGGTATTTGTGAAGGAAATTACTACCTCTGTAATTACGCCTCTGCAGATGGTACTGACATCCATCCATCTTCTTCCGCTTATCCGGAGTCGGGTCGCGGAGGTAACACCCAATTCCATCTTTGGTAATAGGAACGGACACAGTTTGGCAAACACAGGATACATCTGCTCACCAAAAGAGGAACTTCTGTTTAACCAAACGGGATCCATGGCCTGCTTTAGCAATGATTTCATCCTGCGAACATCCTATGACTAGTGGCTTCATATGACTTGTCCAGACCTGCCCTGTCCATAAGGACACTGTCCTCATTTACTCTTTTAGCATCATCATGAATCTGTTAAAATCCACAAAAACGCATCTCAAATCCATTATACTGTTCAGAATCATTAGTTTTACCTTCATACTATTAATCATTTGGTCACATGTTGTTCTTCATTAATCATTGTATCAACTTTAATCACACAATCTTTATCGTTTCAGCACAGCATTTAGCATTTTGAATCACTGAGTCTTTTATATTGCTTTCTCAGAGCCAGTGTTCTTTGCTCGTGGCTGCTTCTGGGATCTCAAACCTTGACTCTACTTGACAAGTCACATACAGTATATTTAATGAATGACCTCAGTAATGTGTGGACTGTATTGGAATATGTGTTGGCCTCACACACCTTGGTTGTTTGTCACAAAACACCTCATGTTGTTTGTCTCTAAATTCCAGAGTTCATCGAGCTTCACTCCTGAAATGCAAACTGAGTCTGTACAGATCTTATACAGGTAATCACATATCAACATCACTTTACACTGTTTCAGCTGCTTTCAGTCTCTCCCTCTTAGCACTGACACTGATAACCACATTACTGGTTCCACAGTAAGATCCTCCAAAGCTTTGTTTGAAGAAGCTGCTGTACTTGTAGCAGTAATCAACCACCTGATAAATGTGAATATTT